CAATCCGTTAATCTAATTGAACTTGGGAACTTATCTACTTGAGTTAGTTATTTTCTTTTTTTCTTGTTTTATTTATTTCCTTTCTTTTTCATTTCTGTTTTGTGTAGGGAAATGAATTGGATCATTCAATCACCAATCCTCGTGGGATCGACCTCGCACTTACATATGCTATACTACCAAACGGCTCGTGCACTTGCGAGTATCACAAGTTGAGGATGCAACTGAATCCATTTTGGTGCAGCTGTATCTACGCAACATGGGACCCTGCTGCCACGTGGCGATTTGACTACAATATCTTTGGCCGTGTTTCTTGCGATCCTTCGGCCTCGGCCCATAATGCCGCGGTCGAGGCCGAGATGATTATGCCTTTGCAGCTTTTCCTTTGTCTCTGGGAACACAAAAATGCCACGTCCCAGTTCATGAATAGGTGCTAGGGCCGAGCGGAAACTCCTTCGGTCATTTTTACGACCGTGATTTATTAGGCACAAACAGAACGAGTCTGGAAACAAGACTCCGTCAAAATGATGAAATCTTTCACTGGTTTGATTAAATTCATTGGTCCATTACCCTCACGACGCTTGAAGACGACAGTTCTGTCTTGTTTGCGACGTTAGAATCGACACACCACAACGATAGTTAAATTCGACCTAATGCAAACTGCACGACGGTGGTTAATAACCGTCATGGTGTGACAATTAATACGTCGGAAACAAGATAAAACCGTCATCTCTTAGGAGAAAGAACTCTACCTTTTTCCTGTATCACCTCTCAGTAAGACAACAATTGTATTTTGTTTTGGACGTGTTAATGTGTAATCCACGTCAGTTTTTAGACTTAATAACCGACATGGTGTAACAATTAATACGACATGAACGACATAAAACCATCGTCCTATTGTTGTACCATGTTTGGTGAGAGATTTTAATAAGACGTCGGTGTTTTCTTGATAACATCGTGGTATTGTTTGTACGACGTAGGTGTTGTTTTACAACCGTTGTCCTAAATTCAATATCACGGTTGTCTTTTTTCGGCGTCTTTTATTTAATTTTGCGTCGATCTATTTAATTAAATGTCGTTGTTTCTCTTGCAGGTTAATTAAAAATGGTTTCGAAATCTCAAAGCAAGGAGGCTCAAGTGTCAAAAGGTCCTAGCAAGGACCTTGATGCAGTTTCAAAGGCTTCAATGGATGAAGCCAAATCAGTTCAAAGCAAACCCGCGAAGAGGATGAGATTTTCTTCAACCTCTGATAAAGACCCGAGCTCAGCCACATTTGTTGAGGAGCCAAAATCGACTCACGGTATCAACACAATGAGTCGTGTTGTGAAGAGGAAAGATTAAGCCTGTGGTTGAGTTCAATAAAAGGGGCAAACCACATGGCAAGGCTAATGTTGAGATGCAGTCTTACATTGGTGTTTTGGCACGCACCAGAGTCCCTCTTGTGGACAAGAAATGGACTCAATTGCCCAAGGACCTGAAGGAGCAGATTTGGGAAGCTATTCAAATGGCTTTTGTTGTTGGGGAAGGGTGCAAGAAGATGGTCCTGTCGTCTGCCGCCAAAAAATGGAAGGATTTCAAGTATACCTTAAGTAGGCAGTATATCCTTCCATTCGCAAATGACAAGGAGAAGTTAAAAGAACCCCCTGAGCTTTATAAGTTCATAGAGAATCGCAATGGGATGCCTTTGTAGCTTCGAGGTTATCCCCAGATTTTGAGGCTACGCATTCTGGGCAGAAACAGAGAAGGGAAAAATGCGAGTACAACCATAGGTTGTCTAGAAAAAGGTATGTTGGTTTGGAGGATCAATTGGAAGAAACCATGCCCAGTGAAGAAATCGATCGATCTCTGCTATGGAAGAAGGCAAGAGAAGATGAAAAGGGAAACTTCCCTGATCCAAAGGTTGCAGAGAAGGCAAAATTAATCGTAAGTCTCACTAACTCTATTCTAAATTTGAAAAACAGAGTGTTTTATTTTCGTATAGATGTCGCATGTTTAAATAACCGTCGTTACAACTTAAACACCACAACGGTCTCTATTTAACGTCGTTTCAAATATAATAGAACGTCGGTTTTAAGATGCCAGTTGATGTTGGTATGCTACAACTCGAACAATGGCCTTTTTATTGTAGTAAGATATGAGCTGCTGCTGGTAAGATGCAACTAGAACAATGGCCTTCTTATTGTAGTAAGATGTGAGCTGCTGCTAGTAAGCTACAACTCAAACAATTGCCTTTTCTCATTCTTCTTCGAGTAGATCAAGGTTGATTTTCCTCTGCTTGCTGTTTTGGACTGTGATGTGTGGGGGGATGATTGCTTATATCCCATAGGCCAAAGAAAATGGTGTCTCGCCAGTTAATCTCCTTTTGGTTGTGCGATAAGCCCATAAGACTCCTGGCAGCTCGTCGATCCATTTTCCTTCTGCGCCTTCTAGTCTTTTCTTCAGGTAGTCCCGCACGATCTTGTTGGATAGTGAAGGTAGGAAACAACTTCAACAGTTCTTGGACTTTGTCAAGGTACAAGATCATCCAAAGGTGTTTCGCCATGTATTCTCCTGAGGCTTGATTTGTGACCAGCTGGGAATCTGAGTAGATGGCTAGCTTCTTGATTGACAACTCCTTCGCCAAGCGCAAACAGTGAGCAATGCCTCGTATTCTGCCTCGTTGTTTGAGGCTGGGAAGCCAAGCGTAATAGCTTGCTCCAACAGCTCCAACAGGGTTCCATTCGGGGTGATGATGACGACGCCTGCTCCAGCTCCTTTTTGGTTCGACGCTCCGTCTACACGCAACTGCCACATGTCTCTAGGTTGGTCAGGTTCAGCGAAGGTCTTGTATGCTCTCGAATTTTCCTTCTTTTTACTGACCAGCTTTTCTTCTTCGGCCGATGGCATGAATTTTGAGACAAAGTCTGCTAAAGCCTGGGCTTTTATTGCAGTTTTCGGCCAAGAGGAAGTCGTATTGGCTTAGCCCTATAGCCCACTTCATGAGTCGTTGAGATGTGTTAGGACTGTGGAGGATTGACCTCAAATAAAAGTCGGTCATGACGATGACTCAGTGAGCTTGGTAGTAGGGTCGAGCTTTCTCGCGGAAACTACAAAGGCCAAAATGAGCTTCTCCAATTTCGGGTAATGAGTCTCTGCATCGAGAAGGGCTTTTGACGTGTAGAATACCGAATGTTTGGCCCCCAGTTCTTCTCGGATGAGAGCTGAGCTGACGGCCGAGTTGAACACTGCCAGGTACATGAACAAGTCTTCACCAGGAACTGGCTTTGAGAGCAGGGGAGGTGAAGTGAGGTAAGTCTTTAGATTCTAGAAAGCTTCTTCGCACTCCTCGTCCCATTTGTCTTTTTGTACCTTCTTCAAAGCGTTGAAGAATGGTCTGTACTTGTCGGTAGATCTCAAGAGGAATTGGTTGAGGGCCGCTGCTCTGCCCGTTATACTTTAAATCTCCTTTACCGTTGAAGGTGACTTCATCTCGAGAATTGCCTTGATTTGGCGTGGGTGCGCCTCGATACCTCGTTGAGTGACTAGGTATCCCAGGAATCGGCCGGACGATACACCGAACATGCATTTACTTGGATTCAACTTCATGCGATACTGGCGGAGCAGGCTGAATGCCTTAGTGAGGTTCTTGATGTGGTCTGCTCACTTAGGGGCTTTGACCAGCATGTCGTCCACGTACACTTCCATGGTTTTGCCGATCTGCTCCTTGAAAATTTTATTCACAAGCCTTTGGTAGGTTGCTCCTGCATTCTTCAGCATAAAGGGCATGACCTTGTAGTAGTAGGTCCCTCTCTCGATGATGAAAGAGGTCTTCGCCTTGTCATCCTCGTGCATCAGATTTGGTTATAGCCTGAATAGGCGTCCATGAAGCTGAGCAGCTGATTGCCGGAAGTTGAATCCAAGAGCTGGTCAATTCTCGGTAGTGAGAAGTTGTCTTTAGGGCAGGCTTTGAGGTCGGTGTAATCGACGCAAACTCTCCACTTGCCCTTTTCTTGTTTCATCACTAGAACAACGTTGGCTAGCCATTCTGAATAGGAGACCTCTTCAATGAAGCCAGCAACTTGATCTCTGCTTTTATGATTGCGACCCGCTCGGGAGCTAAGTTGCATCTCTTCTGCGCTACTGGCTTGTTGGCGGGGTTAACATAGAGCCAGTGGCAGATGATGTTCGGGTTGATGCCAGGCATGTTAGATGGCGACCACGCGAACATGTCTTTGTTGTTCTGGGGGGAAGGTGGTCAGCTCCACCTTCTCATCTAAGCTTAGGCGCGAGCCGATCCGCACTTTCTTATCTGGCTAGTCAGGATCGAGGAGTACTAACTCAACGTCTTCCTCAAGCTTGCAACCTTCTTCAAGGGAGCCTTCCGGGCGAATTCCCTCGTCTCGATCCTTCTCGTCTGGATTCTAGCGTGAGTCGATCTGCGCTTCTTTGTCTGGCGGGCCAGGATCAGGGGGTATTAACTCAACGTGATCCTCAGGCTTCCAACCCTTTTCAGGGAAGTCTTCCGGGCGGATTCCCTTGCCTTGATCCTGGCTCCTTAATTGCTATTGTGAGGTAACAACTCCCTTCCCGTTCGGGCTTGCTTGTCTGCTAGGAACGCTTCCTGCCTCATTGGCAGCTTGCATTATTGGTGTGAACTGCAACTGCTTACTCTTCTTGAGCCTTTGGGCTGTGCATCTCCTTGCCATGACTTGGTCACTGTTGATCTGCCCGATCTCGCCACCAGGGATGGGGTAGCGGATCTTCTAGTGTAGAGTAGATGTGATGGCTTCGATCTTACTGATCCACGGTCGGCCCAAGATTCGGTTGTAGGGAGAGACCTTGTTGATGGCCTTGAAGGTTTGCGAGCAGACCACCGAGGGTGAGTGGACGTTAAGGTCAATTGTTCCAACAGTGATTGACGTGGCCCCATTGAAGCCTGTGAGCGATCTGGCAAGTTTGCTGATCTTGGGCTCCAATCCCATATGTTAGATAATTGGTAATTGCAGGATATTGGTTGTGCTGCCCTAGTCCACGTGAACTCGCTCGATCACAGCTTGTTCAATTTGGATGCAGATTATTAGGGCGTCATTATGCGGTAGATCAAGCCCGATCAAGTCCTTTTTCTGAAAGTTGATGATGGGTGTATCCGCAATGACTTGTACGCCTGTTGTGACTTGGGAGACATAAGTCACCTGTACGATCTTTCTCTTGCGCTCCTTGGTGGTCAGCCGGGACTCCTGGGAGTCAGCTAGAATGGTGTTGATCCGTATAACCTTTTGGGGAGGTTCCTTGGCAGCCACATCACAATCCTCGATCTGCTGGATGGCCTTCTTTGCTACGAATTCTGTGCAATGACCATCTCTGACCAGCTCCTCAAGGTGCCTTTTCCAGGCGTTGCAGTTGTTTGTGTAATGACTGCGCTCCCCATGGAATGCACAGTGTTTACTGGTGTCCCTCCTAAAGGGGTCTGTCCTCAAGGATGACGGTCTTCTCACCCACGGCTTATCCTTCACTTGTGCCAGGATCTGGTGGATCGGGATAGTGAACTCAGTGAAGGTTCCTGTTTCTGAGCCTCCTTCTTGGGGTCATGGTCTGTGCTTGAACTTGTTACTCTTTTGGCCCTCCTGCCTTGTCGGGTGATCAGCTTGCTTGCTGGCTTTCTTCGTCGCAATACGGTCATCATCCGAAAGTGCGTAGCACTCTGCCGTCGCGAAGACCTCTGCCAAGTTTTGGCTTGGAGTTATGGCTAGCTCACGGTATAGCTCGTGTTCGGTTGGCAAGCCCTTCTTGAAAGCTAAGGATGCAACCTAGTCATTGCATCCTATGATGTTCGCCTTCTAAGCCTTAAACCTTCTGAGGTAGTCTCGAAGAGACTTATCTGGTTTCTTGCGCAAGTTGAACAAGTGGTCTGCATGCTTTCTGACCGTCTTGTAGGAGGTGTACTCCTTTGTGAAGATGAGGGCGAACTCCTTGAAGTTGCCTATCAACGCGGATGGTAGAGTGTGGAACCAGTCTTGACTTGCTCCTCACAGAGTCATCGCGAACACTTTGCACATCAAGGCGTCGTCTGCCTTGTACAAGATCATGGGGCTCTTGAAGTGCCTCAAATGGCTTTCAGGGTCAAAGTCCCCCTTGAATGGAGTGATGGATGGCATTGTGAATCGCTTCGGCGGTGGAACTTGTTCCATCTCGTCAGTAAAGGGCGAGCAGTCGACTCGATCAACTTCCTTACATAGGGCCTCCTCCGTGCTTCCTTTAAGTTGGAGACCTTGAAGTCGGTCACTTACTAGCTTCTCGACATCTTCTGCCCGCAGGGCTGGTGGCTCGGGTTGACGTCCACGGTGCCTCGAGCGCGGCTGGCTAACTTCTTCCTCAGCTTCTAAGGGTCGATCCCCTTGGTTGCCCTAGCTGTGAGGCAGATTAGGAGATTGAGCTTGTGATGATTCCTCTACAACTTGCAGCCGCGTGTTGGTCCTCGAGCGGGCTAGTAGGCATTGATCGTTGCTCTTGCCATGCGATTGTTCACGAACTCGAGCTTCTTGTGGTTCTAGCCTAGATTGGATACTTCTTCGTGGGCCCAAGTGAGCATGGACATCAGACTGTGGGCCTAGCCTCTCGTACACATTGGTCCTTGGACCTAGCCTTGAACGGCTCAAAGTACGGCTTGCATCTGTCTGCGTCTCGTTCGCACGATCTCATTCTCTCCCCTGCCCATTTGCTCCTGTCTAACCAGTCTGGGACCTCTCGAACTGCTCGCCGACATGCTCATGTGTCCTCCTTTCCTCATCACGGGATCCAAGGTTAGGGCCTTGATTCAAGTTGATCGTCGACCCTCTGTGTGAGTTGATCAACCCGTGAGTTAAGGTCCACTTGACTACGCGGGTCGAGTAGAGTGGTGTGCATCGAGCCCAATGGCATGTGGGCTAGGGCTCCATTAGACGCAAACATATGTGCATACGTCAAGTGTGGTTACAAAGCAGTAGGAGACAGCTGCAAGGTGTTGGCAACCACGATTTCGTGCGGTTGCATTGAGGTTTCCACCACGAAACCATGAGACGGGCCAGCAGTGGCGGTGTTAACCATGGTTGTTTGAAAAAAGGTGTGGAAAATGGATTTAGAGCACGCTTTAGGTATAATTTCGTGCTCTCAATGAAAACACCAATATGTGGGAGCAATTTTCGTCCCACAAGAATATTAGCCTAAGATTCCTCTTCCTTCGTCGCCGTCTCCTTCTCCCTGCAAAATAGATCGGAGTAAAAGGACCACACCCGGGGGGTGTCGGCCAAAAGCCCTCCGATGCCTAAGTTAGGTTGGGTGTTTCAAGGAAAACGTGGTGGGCGGAGCCTTGTGTGAGAGAGAGAGAAAGAATATGGTGTCTAGGGTTTGTGAGGGATAATTTCTGCAAAGTTTCAATAGGAATTTAGACGTACCTCAACCCTTGTGCGTAGCCAAGTATTTATAGGAGCCTCGGAGGCTAAGGTTTCAGACGAATAATTCCACATATGGAAAGGAATTATTCCCTGATTTGGTGAGGTAGGTGTAATTAGGGATTTGATTAAATCAAATCCCTAATTAAGGTAAGAATCAGATACAGCCCATTTAAATCAAATAACCTCCCAATTAATTTAGGTAACTCCCAATTACGTTAGGTAACTCATAATTAGGTCAAATAATTCCCAAATCGATTGGCCTAATTATTTGACCTAGGGTGAGATACTTTGCTTCCACAATAGAGTTCTCTAAGTATCCATACACAAAAAAGAAAAGCAAAAGCTTAAAGAGTTAGCTTATAGCAAAATCCATGTCCCAATTTCTCTAAACCACACCTGCTGGTGGTAGGTTCCCATCTTCACTCATTTCCCGCTTTCTTTTAAGCAAACAATGATCAAGCACAAAAGAGCAAACTTTGAAAGAACTCATATTACACCACATATGGTTCTTTGCCCTTCATTTAGACATTGAATATTCATCCCCAAACTGAAATTCCAAAGAATCACAAGAAAATATGAAAAAGAAAGAAAACTTATCCATATCCAATATGCAATCCCTTAAAGTTAGTAAACAGAGTTATAAAAAAAAAAATGTCAAATTAAAGCATTATTCTCAAACAAAAAGTATGATATGGTTGGGAGTTTACAAGTTAAAAATGATATACACAGGTTAATTGTCTTAGACTTTTGATATCATCTTCAAGAAAGAAAATAGATACCGATTAGACTTCTAAGAAGGTTAAATGCAATGGTCACAAAGACCCATAGTAAGCCACCAAATACCAATTAATAACTGCTACAAAAACCATAATAAAACCATAAGGGCATGTTTGGTAGGCCTCACTAAACTGGACTGGGCTAAATAGCAATTAAAACCCATGTTTGGTAAGACAGGGGACTAACTTAAATGAGACTATACAGTCCAACAGTGAAAAAAATGGCTCACTAGCTCTTCTAATATAGTGAACTTGAAATGCGGTTCACAAAATAGCACCATCGCTAAACTGAACAAGCGAGTCCGACACACTGGCCTGGCTTCTCTTCCCTGACGCCATTCATCACTTTCTCTTCCCGCAACTTCTCTACCTCAACAAAATTGAGGTTGAAAAACTGAAGCTCCAAGAAGTGTATTTTCTTGATTGAAAAAACTGAAGCTCCAAGATCTGATTGGACCCAACAACAAAACAAAAGAACGTATTTTTAGAATTTCTTTCGACCCAACTCTGGAAATCCATCTCCTCCGACCCATCGTCGTCCACTGCACTGCTCCCAACCCAGCAACATCAATGGCTCCCTCTCACTTCTCTGCCCCCAACCCCAGCAACATCTATTGGTTTATTAAAAAAACCCAGATATGGATTTGGTTGTTGAAGAAATAGAGGGGAAATAGAGAAAAATAGGGAGAGAGAAGGAGGAGGGGAGGGGGGCTTGGTTGACGAATGAAGGGGAGAAAAAAAGAAGAGGGGGGAGGGGGGGAGGGGTGGGAGAAGGGGAGGAACTTGGGGGAGAGAGGACGGAAGGGGTGGGTGGGGTTTGGGATATTTGTTTTGGTTTAAAAATATTATCTTTAAGAATATTAAAAATCAGCTTCTATAAAAAAAAAGATATAAGAATTCGATTTATTTTCTTTTTATTATTGTTTAAAATTTTTGAATTGGGTTTCTTTGTAGAAATTATTTATTTTTAAGTTAAAATCCCTAATTAAATTTAAATATTACAAGAATTATTTTTAGCCCGACACAGCACCAAATATAGGTCTTCACTATTTTTACAATCTAGCTAAACGTAGGTCAGTACTTAATCCAGCTTAGGCCAATCCGAGCTAATCCAAGACAGTCCCAGGATTTAGTCCAGTCCATGACAGTCCGCCGTACCAAATGACCCCTAATAAACTAGAAATACAAGAACACTAAAATGCCAATACAACATCACCAAATTAGCAATACACTAGCAAAAACACAACAATACGACATTAATGGCAACAACAAAACAACAGCAGTCCAAGCATCAATCCACAAAGAACAAACTCATTCACTGTTTCAAACAAGGAATCATCAGAATAAGACAATTTTAGAGAAACCCCGAAACCAATTTCAGTGAAACCCCTAAACCAATTTCAGAGAAACCCCTAAACCCCAAACCCATTTTAGAGAAACCCCTGAACCCTAAACCAATTTCGAACAAACCACTAAACCAATTTTGGGCTGGTTTGGGGTTGCTTAACTTAAAAAATAAGCAGCTTTAAAAAGAAGTTTTGGAGATTTGGGTGTTTGGTAAAACAAAAATAAGTTGCTGTCATTCAAAGCTGAAAAACAGAAGCAGGTGGGGAGCTGCTTCTGAAAACTGCTGCGAGGAGAAGCATGCGGAGGTTTAAATGAAAATTTCAAATTGCCCATATTGCCCTTATTTGTTTCACACAATTACATGCTATATCCTCATCATCCCGAGTTCGAACCTCCCAAGTGTCGTTCCTTTTTGATTTTCTGGATTGCTTGCCTCATCCTCTCTCTGCAACTTGCTCCCCTTCCTCAATCCGTCAAAGCTACCATCTCAACCCAGGGGGGGGGGGGGGGAGGGGGCCTGGCAGTGGCGGATGGGGAGGGAGAGAAGAAGAAGAGGAAGAGGAAGAAAGAAAGGGGAAAAAAAGAGTGAAGATAGATGGCGATGGAGTGGCGGGGGAGGCTGGGAAGAAAGAACCAGAGAGGAAGAAAAGAGGCCTGGGAAGGTAGAAGAAAAGAGGAAGAATTAAAAAAAAAACATGGGAAGGGAAGAAGTCTTGGAAGGAAGAAGAAAAGAGAAAGGAGGAGAAGAGGAAAGGAAAAAAGGGCGAGAGGTGGGGGGCCTGGGAAGGAAGAGGAAAAGAGGAAGAAAAGAAAACACTGGGAAGGGAAGAAGAATAAAGAAAGGAAGTGAAGAGGAAGAAACAAATAAAAATGAGAAAAAGGCAAAAAGAAAGGTGTCGGCTGCTTTTGAGTTTTTAAATTTTTATTTATTTATTAGTTAACTTAAATCATACATTTTTTTTTAAAAGTCATTATTTGTTTCATTGAGTTTTTTTTTTCTTTTTGTGTGGGAAAAGTGTAAATTATAATTAAGATTCTTTTAAAAAAAAATTGTAAGTGTATTGAACTTCCTTGTGTTTTACAAAAAAATAAAATAAATAAATAACACTTTTGTATTATGCCCTTTTTGGTCATTATACACTCTCACAACACTTCTAAAAAAAAGTTTGCCAAACGCTATGACACTGCTTTTTTTACTCACAGCACTTTTACAAATACGAATTACCAAACACCTAGCTGCTTCACTTCACAGCTGTTTATTCTCACAGCACAGCAGAAGCAGTTTTTTTAAAAAGCACAGCAATACCAAACTAAGCCTTCATAGAAACTCATAAACCATAAACCAACTTTAGAGAAACCCCTAAGTTGTAAGAAAATGGCGATGAACAGTACCTGTTGGAGGGGAACGATGGAGTTGAGCTTCAATGAACAGATTCCGCTGGGAGAGGAAGAGAGAAGAGAGAAGAGAGAAGAGAGAGTGAGAGCTGAGCGATGAGAGAGTGAAGAGAAAGTGAGAGATGGAGCCAAGAGAGAGCTGAGAGAGAACCTCAGCAAAAGTGATATGTGTGCAATAAGTGGACAATAAATATATATTTATAGGTGATAGTTCCAAAAAATTTAGGGAGATGTGGTATT